GATTACTATGAAAAATTATATGAACAAGAGATAATTTCAGAAGAAAAAATAAAACAATACTTAGAAAAAGCCGAACTACCCACAGTACCAGAAACATTTAAAATGGCATTAGAGGAAAGAATAACAATGATGGAATTGACAGAAGCAATTAAAAGACAAAAATATGGCAAAACACCAGGCCCGGATGGGCTACCAGCAGAGATATATAAAGCACAACAAAATGTTATAAAAATGTTGGAAGTATTCAATGAATTACTGTTAGAGGCGAAAATACCGAATTTGTGGATGGAGGATATATTACTCATACCGAATGAAGACTCAGACTTGTAGCAGATAAAAAACTATAGACTGATATCCCTGTTGAATGCAGATTATAAAATACTTACTTCAATAATGGCAGAAAGATTAAAGAGATTTTAAAACAAATTTATACATACAGATCGAAATGGATTTCTACCTAAGAGACAAATTAAAGACAATATGAGAATAATTCTGAACACATTGGAATATTATGAAGCACATCCAGAGAAACAAATGGCGTTGATCTTCCTTGATGCACAGAAGGCATTTGACAATGTGAACTGGCAGTTTATGCTGATGCAAATAGAAGCTATGGGTTTTGGGGAGAGATTTATTAATATGGTTAAGACATTATATTATAAACAACTGGCAAAGTGATGGTAAATGGAGATATGACTGAAAAAGTTAACGTTATAAAAGGAACAAGGCAGGGATGTCCTCTGTCCCCATAACTATTTGTATTGATGTTGGAGGTATTAAACAGAAATATAAGACAGGATAAGGAGATAAAAGATATGGAAATAAAAGAGGAAGAATATAAATTACAGGCGTTTGCAGATGATTTGGTGTTTATTTTAGAAGATCCACAAGAAACGGGGCCAAAATTTTTAAAAAGGATAGAAGAATATGGTAAGGTGGCAGGATTGAAAATTAATAAGGAAAAAAAACAAGATACTAGAGAAAAATATTACAGAGAAACAGAAAGAAGAATTAATGAAGAGATTAGTTATCCTGATTACAAAGAAAGTAAAATATTTAGGGATTCACTTAACAGCAAGATGTGTAACGATTAAGGAAGATAATTACTATAAACTGATAAAACAAAGGTAGATTTGGAGAAATGAAAAAACTTGTAATTATTGTTAATAGGAAGAATAGCTACAATTAAGATGAACATATTATCGAGGTTCTTGTTCTTGTTTCAATAAACCTGGTAAAATTGGAGAAAAAATACATCTGGCAGGGGAAAAAAGCGAGAATTAATGTAAAAATGCTACAAGACGCAAGAACTAGAGGTGGGTTTGGATTACCAAATTGGGAATTATATTATCAGGCAGCAGTGTTAACATGGATGAAAGAATGGATTGTATTGAGAAATACAAGGTTATTGATATTGGAGGAACATGACTTGCAATTGGGTTGGCATACCTTCTTATGGGAAAAGTAAGATACATGGTTACTTTCAAAGACACTATATAAGAAATGCTTTATTATTAGTATGGGAGAAAATCAGAGAACAACACTTTTTGAAGATACCAGTTTGGCTTTCGACTATGGAAGCATTTATACATCCAAATATTATTAACATGGGAAATATTGTTAGATATAAAGATATTTTGACTGAAAAGGGGGAACTTAAAATGAAACAAGAATTGAAAAAATGGGATTGATATGGTTTGGTATACACAACTACAAATACAATCTAGATATGAAAAAGATGCTAAATTATATGGTTTCTATATGGAATTGACAGAACTGGGTACTAACAGGAACAGAAGAGAGGGCGATAAAATTGTATAGTTATTTATTGTGTATTAAGTTAGAAGAAGAACAAGTGAAAGAAACAATGACAGCATGGGCAAAAAACTTTAGTTATACGATAGAGTTAGATAAATGGCAGCAATTATGAGATAGAAATTATACATTAACAATGTCAACTGCATACAAGGAAAATTTGTACAAGATGTTTTATAGATGGCATTTGCCACTGGAAAGATTGGCAAAAATCTTTAAAGACAAATCAGCTAGATGTTGGAAATACCATAAGATACCGGGGTCGTATTATCATATGTGCTGGACACATGTAGAAGCAAAAAAATATTGGGCAAAAATTCATATGTGGTTGGAGAAGATGACACAACAACATATCTCAAACCTGAATTATTCTTGTTGGGGATTTTATTGCACAAAATTGGAAAAGTGAAGAGATCCCTACGGATGAAAATGTGATTAAGAAAATATTAGAATGTGCAGAAATGAATAGATTAACATTTGTTATTAAAGGAAATGAAGAATCTGACTATTATAGTATATGGGAGTTATTTTATCAATGGTTAGAGAATAAATATGAAAATTAGAAATAAAACCAGAGGACTGAAATATTGAAAATGTATTACGAAGTCAAATAAGCTAAGAAGAGAAATGTTACAACAGATATGTAATGTATTAGTATTAATTTAAGAATAGATATAAATAATGAACATGGTTGTAAATTTTAATGTTTATTGCACAAAAAAATTGTACTCAGACGACACACTGTTTAATGAAAGATGAAATGTTTGCATTAAAAGAAAATATTTTTTAAAAAAAATTTTTTAAAGGAAACATGTCACTTTTAGAAGAAAACAGCAACCAAGAGCAAAGCCCCTACTATCTACTCTAGTATCCAATTAATCCTCTGGAACTGAACAATTGATTTCATAACCTCCCCCTGGAAGAAAATATGCAGATACAAACTATAAAACAGCAGTCATCAATAGTTTCTGAAAAGGAGACACAACCCAGCATTCCTGTGACAGGAAGAATGGTATCCCAGACTTCTCTAGGAAAAAAGGTGCATATTGGTGATAGCAGATGCAGTTCTTTGGGGAACAGAAACTATAACCTGCAGACTGAACAGTCAATCATATAGCCCGAATCTGCAAAGATGAAGTCAGGAAAGCTAAAGCTCAGAATGAACAAAGACTTGTATCAAGAGTCAAAGATAATTTAAAAAAAGTTTTTTCAGTGTATAAATAAAAAGAAAAAAGTCAAGGAAACAGTAGGTCCACTAAAGAGAGAAGATGGCAAGGAAGTATCAGGCAGTAGAGAGAAAGTAGAGCTGCATAGCTCATTCTTTGCATCAGTCTTCACGCAAAAGAAACGATAGCCCAACCTACCAAAAGCATAACTGTAAAAGACAGACTAGAAATACAAATTAAGATAAGCAAGAAAATGGTTAGAGAACACCTATCTGATCTCAATGAATATACAGTCAGGTCCAGAAATATTGGGACATCGACACAATTCTAACATCTTTGGCTCTATACACCACCACAATGGAGTTGGAATGAAACAAACACAATGTGCGTTAACTGCAGACTGTCAGCTTTAATTTGAGGGTACAAACTGCTGTAAATCCTACACCGTTCACCTGAGTTGGATGTACATACCCTCAAATTAAAGCTGACAGTCTGCAGTTAACGCACATTGTGTTTGTTTCATTCCAACTCCATTGTGGTGGTGTATAGAGCCAAAGATGCTAGAATTGTGTCGATGTCCCAATATTTCTGGACCTGACTGTAAATCACTGGGAGCAGATGGTTTACATCCCTGAATTCTGAAGGAGCTACCATGGGAAAATGGTTGCAGAAGTGGATGGATTTGGCTGAAATGGCAAAACTGATTACTCTGATTGAAGAAAATTATATAAGTACTTTTGTTTCCACATGGAAACCGCTTCTGAATTTCGTGCTTGATGTGGAAAAGAATGTAACTTTGACTTTGGGTTTTACACATTAGACAGGTAGATCTTTATAGAAGTGACTTGTTTATATTATTATGGAAAAACAAAAAGTTGTGACTTGAAGTTTTATTTTACTGCAACAGAGTCGGAAGTCAATCTTCTTTTTCTTTTCTTTTTCCTACTCTTTGCCACATCCCTTTACTCTTACCCCTCCTTCCTTAATGTTCCTCTATTTACTTTTATATTTTGTATTTTATAAGACTTAATAATTTAATAAAAAATGTGGATTTGTTAAAATTGTGGCAGAAGGTGCTGTAATATTGAATTGCTACTTATTATCAAGTCATTTTCACTTAATAAGTAACTTAATAATAAGTATTATTATTAATACTTATTAATAAGTATTAATACTTATTAATAAGTATTGCCAAGTAAGCATTATCAATTTTTTATTTATTTTTATTTTTTATTTTTTTATTTATATGCCACCCTTCTCCGACGACTCAGGGTGGCTTACAATGCGTTAAGCAATAGCCTTCATACTATTGTATATTTTATATAAAGTCAGCTTATTGCCCCCACAAACCGGGTCCTCAATTGATTTTGGCAAACTGAATCGCCTTTTTGCTTTTTCAGGCAGAGTAATTGGGAACTTACCCTTCTCTGGTGAGAAAGAGATAGATCTGGCTGTAAAGAGTGCACATGCTGCTTTCAAAATATGGAGTCAGAAATCAGGCATGGAACGGAGCAACATTCTGCTGGAGGCAGCCCAAATTATCCGGGTATGTAATATAAAAACAATATTGTAAGGTTGTCTTGACAAGCTTATTAGTATTGGGGGTACCCCAACTTTTATGGGACCTGGATAGTATCAAGTGGTTAGGATACATATTGATTCCCAAGAATTAGGGTGATTCTAGTCAAGATTGCTGTTTTGTCACTTTTGACAAGGAAGAAAAATATGTAAGCCTCAGATTGTATACAGATCATAGTTTGATTTGAAGTGATTTAAAGAAACAGGTCAAATCCTGTCTCCACATTATCTGTTAATTTCACTACCCTAGTTTTTCCCAAAGCAGCTGTACATTATAACAAATGAAGAGTTCAGATAGAAAATCTGCTGTTTTGTAAAGTTCAGAAACCTACAATTTAAAGAACAATGTTTGCATCTCTGAGAATCGAGAAGCAATTCATTAAAAGTCTCATTGTAAGATCCTGCCTCTCCCTCCTGTTCAAGAAAGCATGGACTCTTGAAAACATTTCAAAAGGAAACTTTTATTGAAAGAAAGTGAATGTAAAACAATTCAAAGCTGTTCCTCCCAGGCAATTCCGTTAGGATAAGGTGATTAGAAACCCCTCCCAGTTTGATGTTGAATGAGCTATTCCACAGGTGCAAAGATGTTGTGGAAACGGGTCATCCTGAGAAAGAGATAAGGAGTCATTCCCATGTGTTTCTTTTGTGAGGCTTCCAAACTGAGAGAAAACAGATGACCCTCCCCCCTTGTACATCCCCCAAGGTAAATCAAAGCACAGGGCAGAATAGGTGGCAGGGTAAAAGTTATAAACTAGGGAAATACAGGATACATAGGAAAACAGAATGAGAGCAATAAGTGAGTATTCCCCACTTGAATGGCAGTATAACGATAGGGATCTGTCATGCTGCACCTCTTCAAAAAAATGAGGGGATCACCTGTAAGAGAGAACAGAAAGATGAACATCATAGAGAGTTAGTTTGGTTTGTTAGGATACTTTGAGTGAAACTTTTTCAGCAACGCAGGGGTCCTAACATGTTTCTTAGCTACCCACTCATTTTGGGAGGGAGGTAAATGTCTCCAGGAGACTGGAGTTGAATTCCTGGGTGGGGGAGTTAAGGAACTTTTGATTTCAAAGTGTTCAAAGTGTTGTTCCCCTTCGACCATAATAGGATGGGATGAGCGTTTTTGTGGGCCTTAAAGGGGATGTAATTTCAGGTTTCAATAGGCTGCAGTGAAAAACTAAGTAGACCAGTCTGGGGAGTAGTAATTCTACCGTTACTGGGTTGATGATTCTAGTGATTGAGAAAGGCCCTATGAATTTGGGTCCCAATTTCTTTGAGGGTTGTAAGGATTGTAGGAATTTTGTTGACAGGTAAACCTTATCACCTATTTTTAATGGGTTTGGTTCTGTCCTTCTTTTGTCAGCTTGGGCTTTAAAAGCAGCTCTAGCCTCATTCAGGGCTAGTCTCACTACTGGCCAGGTGTTTGGTAGTTTTTGTATCCACTCCTTAAGTGAGGGTATGGTTGGTTCCTCTACTGGTAATTCTGGCATTGGGATGAAGTCCTGGCCAGTGGCAACTCAAAATGGGGTGAACCCAGTGCTAGAGTGCACAGATTTATTATAGGCAACTTCTGCAAAAGGCAAGTCAGTCCACTTACCTTATTGATAGTTAATAAAGCATCTTAAATATTGTTCCAGAACCGAGTTCAATCTCTCTGTCTATCTGTTAGTCTGAGAATGAGGACTAGAACTTAGACCCTGACTGGTTCTGAGAAAGTCCAAAAAAGGCCTTCCAGTACTTTGAAGTGAATTGGACCCCCCTGATCAGATATTATTCTTTGTGGGGCCCCATGTAGTTGATAGATATGCTGCAGGAACGGTTTGGCGAGTGCCTTAACAGTGGGGATTTTTTGGCAGGGAATGAAGTGGGCCTACTGGAGAAAAGGTCTGTTATGACCCAGATAACAGTATTCCCCCCACTTTCAGGTAACTCTACAATAAAATCTATAGAGATCTCACTCCAGGGTTCTGAAGGCTCGGCTACTGTCTGTAAAAGCCTGGGGGGATTTCCCTTGTCTCCTCTTTGCTGCTGCACAGATAGGGCAACTGGCAACATAGCTTTCAATGTCTTTCTTAAGAGATGGCCACCAGAATTGCCTTTTGATAAGGTGTAGGGTTTTCACGAGCCGAAGTGACCAGCCAGTTTGGAGTCGTAGCATGTTTGCATGAGAGGAATTCTCTGACTAGCTGGGACATATAATTTTCTCCCATCCAAGCTAAGTCATCTTTAATTAAACAAATGTTTTAGGAACCAGTCATTGGTTTGTAGGACTTTTTTAAACACCTGAGTGGTAGCATTATCTGTTAGTGGTTCTTGTTTAGCTTGAGCCCTGGTCATCACTTTGGCTGCCAGTTGAGAGCAGGGGTTTGATCACTTCAGGTTTTCCACTATTAAACTGAGGCTTTCTGGATAGTGTGTCTGCTAAAAAGTTTTTTCCCCCAGGGAAGTATTTTAGGTTGAAATTGAAACATTTGAAGTGTTGAGCCCGGCAAACTTGTTTTGGGGAGAGTTTCTGTGGGTTTGGTTTTTTTTGCAAAAAGTTTTTTTTAATTTTTTTTTTCAAACACACAAATTACATCTTTTCGGAACAGAGCTTTGATCCAGTCATCAATTTGTTCAATTTTAGTCACCTTTAACAAAATTTTATATATTCTATTTTGCCATAACACTTATTTCTTAATCTTAAATCACATATTTCAACTAATACCATCTTTAAAAAAGTTTACTCATGTTTACTTAATCAATATAATTACCCTTCTATTAACCCACTTTAAATCTTAATTCAATTAATACCTCATAATACATTTCACAATTCATACCCTAAATCCTGTTAACAATACAGTTCAAACATGTTTATATTTCAAAATTATTTCCATTTCTATAACTTTCTTACATTTATTTATTTCTTCACATAATGCTCATTAAATCTTTATTCCATTATTGCAAACACCAATTAAATAGTTTTTGTTTGTAAATCATAATCATATATTGTTTCAATTTTCTTTTTTGCTTAAGTGAAAAATATTCAAATTATTACCATTGTTATTTTATCATTCCATGATTACACTGTTAATCCCAGTGTAATCATCTTTATTCCACTGTTAATCCCAGTGTAATCATCGTAATCATCTTTATTTTTTTCACTGTTAATCCCAGTGTAATCTATAAATATTTAAACAGTATCCCAATTATTATAGCTATCAATTCCCTCAAATAATATCATCCACCATCTTAATAAAAATTACTTCTTCATATCCATTGATATATATATTTTTAACATAGTCTATTTCTCATATGTTTTAACTTCAATCCATATTTCATTTCTAAGTATCTGTAACATATTTCTTCTCATGTTTATTAATCTCAATATAGTTTTATAAATCCAAGTCCTGGACTTATTTATTTTCCTTAATATTTACCAACCTTTTATTCTTTTTTTTTTTTTTATTGCAAAAGTTTTACAATTACATTTTCACCCCTTTTTCCCCCCCCTCCACCCCTCCCAAACTTCCCAACCTCCCTAACCCTCCCTAACCCTCCCCTCCCCCCAGACTTCCCTATAATATACTCATAACTCGTAAAAAAAAAACACAAGAAAAAAACCCTTAATATGACACTTATGTGTAAACTTGAACCCCTCCCTCCCCTGTATAATTTTTCTTTTTACCTCATTACATTAAAATATTTCTAAAACATTATTTTCAAATAAAAGCTATTTGATACTTTCTAGTTTGATATTTGTTCTGAACATATTCTATCCATCTTTTCCATTCCCATTCATAAGTCTCTTGTGAGCAATCTTTTAAGTATGCTGAAATCTTCGCCATCTCTGCAAAACTGGCCATCTTCAAAGTCCATTCCTCAATAGTGGGCAAAGCTTCATTTTTCCAATATTTACCTATCAACAATCTTGCTGCTGTTATCATATACAATATCAGTTTTGTTTCACCCAATGTAAAACCCTTAACTATACCCAATAAAAACAATTGTGGAGAGAATTGAATTTTTTTCTTCAAAACATTCTGCATGACCCACCAGATTTTTATCCAAAAAGCCTTAACTTTCCTACAGGTCCACCAAACATGATAATACGTAGCATCCAAACATTCACATCTCCAACATTTTGGCTGAACATTAGGGTACATACATGACAACTTTTTGGGATCTAAATGCCATCTATAAAACATTTTATAGAAATTTTCCCTCAGGTTCTGCGACTGTGTAAATTTAACATTCTGAACCCAAATTTTTTCCCATGTTTCCAACATCACTGGTTCTTCAAAATTTTGTGCCCTCTTAATCATACAATCTTTAACTAATTCGGTTTCTGAATCCCTTTCTAGCAAAACATTATAAAGCCTTTTGATATGCATTGGACCTTTCTCTTTTATATGTCTAACCAATTCTTCTTCGTGCAACATAATACCAGTTTTTTGGTCCTCTTTCCATCTCAATTGTAATTGATTATATTGTAACCATGTTAGATTAATCCCTTCGTCCAACAGTGTCTGCAATGTCTTCAGCTGCCATCTGCCCGCATCTGTAAAAAGAACCTCTTTGTATAAAAACCCCCCGAGTGACATTATATTTGTATTCCACAAAGTATGACCAAGATCCAGCCATAGCGGTATTTTATAATCCCATTTGAGTCGGTGCTTCTTCCAAACTCTCATCAAAGAGTCTCTAAGTATATGACTTTTAAATACTTTATCAACTTTCAAATAATATCATCCACCATCTTAATAAAAATTACTTCTTCATATCCATTGATATATATATTTTTAACATAGTCTATTTCTCATATGTTTTAACTTCAATCCATATTTCATTTCTAAGTATCTGTAACATATTTCTTCTCATGTTTATTAATCTCAATATAGTTTTATAAATCCAAGTCCTGGACTTATTTATTTTCCTTAATATTTACCAACCTTTTATTCTTTTATCATTCACTGTTAATCCCAGTGTAATCACCATTATATTATTATTAATCTCTATAATCTCTAGAGACCTCCTTTTTATTATTACTATTTTCAATTTCAATTTAATTCAATTTATATGCCGCCCCACTCCAAAGACTCAGGGCGGCTCACAATACATTTAAAATCCTAATAAGGATTCAGTTACTTATTCATATTTAATCACATTGTCTTTATCTTCTTTATTCTCCACCTCTATGTCTTCTTCTTTTTCTTGTCCACTTGTAGATTTCATTTCAGCTTCTATATCTTCAAATTTTTGTCCTCTGTGCAACATTATAATTATTTCTTTTATTTCCATTGTCCAAGTCAAATAGATCAATTTGTTCCTTCTCTAATTCCTGCGCCATTTTTCTTTTTATGTTAATATTCCAGTTATAAGAGTTCCGTTGTGTTCCCTTCTTTTTATTTTTTTTTCTCCAAAAGTCAAACCGCTTGTAGACAAGAAAATCCTCCCCCACAAGTTCTCACGGATGTTATCTGTGAAGTCCACAATTTTCCAAAACAAAAACCAAGTTGCAATATTCCTTTTTACTCCAGATGGTGTCTCTCTACAATCCACAATTTCTGATTGTTTAAAAAGTATCCATTTTGTTTCAATTACATAACAATCTTATTTAGCTTTTCTTTTTCTTTTAGGTTTAAAAGTACCAAATCATATTTAAAGTCCAGTCCAAATTTAAATAACTCTTTTCACTTCTTTTTCCCCTCCTTTTTTCCCTTTTATTTGTACATCACTTCTTTTTTAAAGCTTATTATCCATTATCTTTGTTTTTTTTAAAAACTTATTTATTATTTATTAGTCATACTTCTATGCCGTCCACTCTCCGAGGACTCTGGGCGGCTTACACCAAAGACAGTATACTAAATAGCATATTTCCCCCAACTATCTAG